GTGAATTTGATCAAAACGTCAGCAAACCATTTGACCTAGAGTATTCTCTTATCAAGATGAATTAAAGGTCTCCAGAAAAATGGTCACGTTACATAGCCTTTAAAAAGAAATAATTTAATTATTTTTGTCAGGCAAATTATCTCCACACTCCGTTAGTTTCGGATCGATGGGACATAAATCTCGAAACTGATTTATTGAGATAGTACACATTATTTAAGAAAGATAATTGTTGTCATAACTAACACTGAGTTCATTACTTCATACAGTTACTGATTTACTTCACTCATAAAAACATAAGTTGAGCCTTAGGATAGACTAATTGCTTTTTGGCTGCAAAGGTGATGCGTCGAAAATTTTAATATAGTACAGGAAAATGAGAAGATTCAGTTACATGTGGGACTCTTTCATCATATGTATTTTTCGGTGAGGATGATTGGAACTCCTGGTGTACAGTAATCGTGTCGTTGGGTGGACCGAATTGATCGTTCTTTGTTGACATTTGGGCTTCTGTACGGATGCTTTGATATTGCTTGTGTTTGATTTATATAATGATGATGGCTGGTGGCCAGTAACGGAATCCAAGACGCGCATTTCGTCCTAACTGAGACTCGTCAGCTTGATGTATCCTCCTCTCAGTCCCGGATTCCAGTGCCCACCATTACCCATCATTTTCATATAACTGAAAGGCTAACGATATCGAGGCATCGTGTCACGAGGTCATATTCCAGTAGATGTTGATCAATTCGATCCAATAAACGATTGGATAATAAAAAACAACAGCATACAAACTATACCCGTTGCAGTGACTATTATAACATGGTGACCAAGTGGGTAACTTCCTGAAAATAAAAGAGATCGTTGTCGAAAGCAAATCTTAGTGGGAACAATATCGCTCACTGGGAAAAAAGTATATCTTGCTGATGAGCCCAAAATAGGACGAAACGCACGTCATGGCTTTCACTGTCAGTCATTATCCAACAGTAATATATAATTGTAAAAAGTCCTAAAATATCGCAGCCTAAGTGGGAGTTTTGCAGCCATCTAGATACCATAATAATAAAGACTCTGAATTGAATCCCAGGTGGTGGGGCTTCGAACCTCATAAAGGAACGATACTTTATTCAAGAATGCATATACAAAATGCTGAGCAGTGTTAAGAACGAGATTACATACGTCTAGGACTTCCTGTCGATTGACCATTAATATATAACAGTGAAATCTAGCACAACACAGTGTTACACCACACAAGTGATAATATAACAAACTCGATCGATGTACTTCAGACTGAACGCCAACACCCTTTAACATTCAATGACCGATCTTTCGGGATACAAAAGATTTGCAAAATATAAAGTGATGAAGAGACCTTTGATTGCAAGATTAAGCAAAAACAAGATGGAAGTTTAGAGACTATTGTCTGTAGTAAACCTTTCCATTTGAATCGCTTCTTAGACTTCAAATCATTCCACTCCATCTCAGTTGAAGTAGACTTAACTGACAATCTAAGTAGCAGAGCAAATCAGTTTACTAGTAGGACAGAAAATCTACACAAAAAATTAGACACATTAAAAATACCATGCATGGTAATAATTACTCACCAGAAATTATAAATAAATTCATAAGAAATAGAAAGGAAGATGTGAGTAATAGTAGTAATGCAGGTTTTAATATTATTCATAAGTACCAATAATGGTTGTAATAGCAGTAAAAATGGTGACCGAATTGTAAGAGGATACAAAGCTGCCACTGTGTTATCATACAAAGAAGGCACCTCAGAAGCACTATGAAATATTTTCAATAAGGCTGGGATTAAAATGGCATTTAAATCAAAAAAACTGCATGAGAAACATACTTTCTAGGCTTAAACATACCACTGACAGAATAAGACAAATAATTTCCTTTACCAAATCCCTCACAATGATTACGAGGTGAAATACATAAGTCAAAGTAGTCGACCAGGATCAACTGCAATAACAGACTACAAGAACTTATCCAAATCAACATTAGTTGATCCTAGTAAGACAATAGAGAATTCAGAGAAAAACTCGGTTATACCACTGCACACAATTACACACAATCAATCACACAGTAGGATGATATACAGTGGTAGCATGAAAGCTCAATTTATTCGATTCAACAGAGAGATTGATAACCGATTCATTATTTATCGAGTCAATAGGAAATGCATGCGAAAGAAATCGTATTGCACAGATACATGCGAAACTCGAGTAGCTTTATGAAAAAAAGGGGGGGGGGATTAGAACTATCTAAACTATATCTCAAAAATGCGGAATTACCTAGTTAAATAGTTCACTAGTTACTAGCCGTTCCTAAGCCCGGGTAAAGAGGGAAGGTCGGGCATATGCCTAGCAACCCTAACCCGGAAAACCAATCCAACCGCTACAAAAACTTCAAAGCACAAAGAAAATATAAAAAATAAAAACAAAATTATTCTTCGCCGGAATCGAAGAGGCGAAATGACGCCAGTTGCTGAAAGTCTTCGAGAAGATGATTATTCGATGTGTCTTCTCTCCCTCGATGAAAGCGAAAGTAAACATGGGGACAGAATGTCTGCACCATGCGTGAACCTAGCAGATTGCAAAAGAGATGAGAAGGTAGCACATTGAAGTGTTAGGAATCTGCGAAAGCAGGTGGAATGGAAGTGGACTCTGCTAACTGTCAACTGGAAACCAGTCAATAATTTACTCCGGTCACCCAGACGACAACTACGAGCACACTGAGTTTTGAAATGGCTATCATGATGTTTCCATCAACATCGAAAGCTCTTATGCGGTGGGAACCAAGCTCCTCCAGCAGGATCAAGACAGCAAGGTTCAACTCAAAAGGAAGGAAGGTTACAATCATACAATGCCAATACTACACACCTACAAATAATGCAGATGAGGAGAAGAAGGAGGAATTCTACAGACAACTGCAATCAACACTCGACATGACTCCACTCCAGTTGGCGACATCAAAATTCTAATGGGTGTGGGATGTGAATGCCAAACTGAGAGCGAACAACACGGGAAGAGAACTAACCATGGGTCGAGAAGCGCTCGGTGGGATCATGAACTAGAATGGAGAATTGTTTGCTGAATTCTGTGCATTCAACGATTTGGTGACTGGAGGCATTATGCCCATCTAATAAACATCTGATAAACAGACTAAAATGAAATTAGAACCCACCACAATGCCCATGTTCTACTCTTATATTCAGTTTATATTAGTTAATCATACCTCTGATGTCAGATATACAAATTGAACAAAGTTGATTACAAAGCTTAATAACGATTCCACACTTTGAGTTTTTGCTTATACGGTGTATAGCAAATTAGGATTCGTGTAATAGGAAGGTAGTGAAGGGATCAAATAAATTGAAGGAAAGTAACTGCTCAAGGATAAAAATGTGTAATCTGTTTTGCACAAGTGTGGATACGTCTTATCGGTTACTTGTTCGATTCAGCTTTTTGGAGTATCACGCAACTATGAGATTGATACCTACCTGTTGGCATGTTTTTCGGTATAATCAAATCGCCTTATCAAGGAATGGAAACAGCTAGTTAACCCAAAAACTCATTTGTTAAAACAAGATACTTTTTATAGGGGGGGGGGAATATCTCAATTCTGAGTTGAAACTACAAGTTTGTCGTTCAATGTTGAGCCAAATATTAGCAGTTAAAATTATTTGCTTAATTTTTATTTGATGTTAAATTTGAGGTCAAGTTTTAACTTAGGATTAGAAGGTAGATCATAGTTACACGTAGCCAACATAGAAAGTAGGCTTGTGAAATACACTGAAAACTCCTAGATTTCATTCTTATTGAATGGATAGCTTAAGAGAAATATTGCTCGAAAGAACACAGGAACTGGTCAGTGTACTCACTTTCATGGCTTCACATGAATTCAGTATAAAAGATACCTGGTCAAATACCTGACTTACAGAATAAAAAACGGATATTCTAATGACTGAAGTGAAGAAGAAATGAATAAACTGAAGATAATATTGCAACGGATAATGTTGTTACGATGCCTTCATATCTCAGACTGAGCTTCAAAGGTGATATTACCTCGGATATCTTAACACGTTGATTAAGTAGGTCAGTTGAAAAGATATTCAATGCAGTTGAACCTTTTGTCACCTTCTCAATCAAACCATTACTGACACAGCAAACCAAGAATAGGTTATTAATTATGGCCAATTCAATATGGATTTATGAGTTCATCTGCCCCCTTGGAGCGAGTTACATACTCAAACAGTTCTATTCATGCGCGCTCGTGAACACGTACCAGGTTGGTCAGAGAAAAGAATGACAAAGAGCATTAACAGTGCAGTCCTGTAATATCAGATATCAGAGTTAGGTATACCACGCCTTTTCTGTGATATATCGTGTCCCTTGCAATCCTAACCCCCCCCCCCCCCCAGGTGCACGACTACACATCTTATCGATAGCTGAAGCCATAGGTATAAACTCAACAAAACATTGTCTGCGGTGGCCCACAATGTGGTCTACACGTTCTTTATGAATTTTCCTACTACAAATTGCACATTTTAACCTCCTACCCCTTTCTTCTATATGATCATTACATTGAAAAGCATTCTTTTTCTTATGTTATTATTTTTACGTCCTTCTTTATGCATACCACTACCGGTACCATTTGAATATAACTCATCACTACATCATTGTTATTTGACCCTTAGAAAACACACACACATTCATGTCCCAATTGATTTAAATAAATCAATTATGATCTCGGGATTTAGTCTTCTCATTTCGTAATTGTTCTGTCAATAGTGATTTAATTGCACACCTGACATACTAGACTGATTACCATTCCATCATTCCATTCGATTTGAGCTCCGTCTACTCATCCATAACACTGACCATTTCAATATAGTAAGAACTGTACATCATATCTTATTTTATTAAAAAAGAATATTTTAAGCTACCTCAAGCTTTCACCCAAATAATCACCAACATTCCTGATAAATTACTTACCTGTCCAAATTTTGACACTTTAGAGATGATAATACTGAGGAGAAGAGTGAAACAATCGCTGGCTTAGTTAAATAGTTGAAGATATATTGATGATACTGACACAATGAATACATTTCATCTATTGAAAATGTTGTTTTCTTTAAAGAATTGAGACAATTTTCAGGTGTTTTGTAAATTGGATTAAGAAAAATAATCAATAAATCATTGAAATAATCTTTTTCTCATGAACGAATGGTTCCAAATATGGTTTACTTTCCAATTTACTTTCAATAATAGATTCCTGAAGTTGAATAATTGTTTGAATGGCTTTTTCTCTCAATTCATCTTTCCAAATCTGTTTTCAAAAAAATTAGTTTTATAAGTACATATAAATAAAAATTAACAGTAAATCAGTCATCATCATCCATCCAGATCAACATAGGACCAGACATTACCGCGTAACGGTCCTAGTTGCCACAGCTCATAACACTACATCAAGTAGAAAGGTAGTAAGGTGAAAGACGAAGATAAGAAAATTCAGTCAAAAGAAGTATAAAGTACGAGAAGAAAGAAAGGAAGAGTGAGAAAGTGGTGAGATTCGGTGTAGCGTCGTTAAGATGAAGATAATGTGTGTATACATCCACGCCACTGACATCGGTTCTGAGCCATATCCCCTACAGTCTCCAACCACTAATTCCGCTTGCCCCACTGACCCCGGCCACCTAATCTGCATCACCCCAAATGGCTCAAACCAACAGTCAGAGATTCCATGCATTGGTGCTACGTTTTAGTGTAGCCACCACGGGTCTTTTTGCAGCCTGGACCTACTTCGGTGAACATTGTATAACGAGGCAATCAGTGACTAGGCATGCGTAACATGCATCCCAACCATCTCAATTGATGAAAGTTCATAACCCCGTCAACAGACTCATCTCTTCTCCCTATAACTCTACACCTGACTTCTACATTACTCACATGGTGACGACACGGAATACAGCCTATACTACGAAGGCAACGGTGGTCAAACACCTGTAGCCTTCTCGTCTTCCACCTTCAATGGCCATGTTACATAGCCATACAGTAGGACAAACCTGACTGATGTGCAGTATACGCCACCCTAAATAGACAATCGGATATCACGGCGGCGCCATAGGTGGTGTAAATTGGTGAAAGGCAATCGAGCCTTTTGCGTCTGTGCAGAGACTTCATCGGCAACTGAGCCACCAGGGTTGATCCTACTACCCAGGTAAGGGAAGTGGTCGACGCACCCAACCACTACTCTCTATTGTTAGCCACGGTGGGGCACAGCTGAAGACCAATCCTGGAGCAACCATTTGCATTTGGGTGGTGAGAACAGCATCCCAAACATTCTCAAACTGATACCACTTAAAGTCTTCTGAAGACTCTGTATCTTGTCAGCGTCTTCACTTAACAGGACTATGTCATCTACACATTCTAGGTCTAACGAAAATTCTCCTGCGATTAGGTCAACCTGTGTGTAATCAGGTGACGAGAGAGAAACCTCCATAAGAATATCTATGATAAAATTGAACAACAGTGGAGAGAGTGGACACCTTTGATGGACACCACTCGTTGAGCATAGCTCCCTGGACATCTCATTATAGGCTCTAACACGCCCACAAATGTTCGAGTAGAGAGCCTTCAATAAGGCGATGTACTTACTTGGCACGCTTTTCAATGAGAGACATCGCCATAACACTTCTAGATCAACGGAGTCAAATGCCGCCTTCAGGTGAGAAATACAGCTATTGTCGGGCGTCGTTAAGCGTATCTATATTCCGGGACCTACGGCAGTGTGAATATTTGGTCGATACACCCGCGACCAGGTCTAAAGCCTGCCTAGTTTTCTCGGGCTTGCTGTTCCCGAGCTCCACTCAGGCGTCGGAGAATCATAGAGCCTAGGATCTTAGACACTATGTTCTTCAGGCTGATTACTCTGCGGTTATCACAAGAGGATTTCTCGCCTTTCTTGAAGACTAGGGTAATCGGTGATTTAGACCAGTCAGAGGTGATTGTATTTGATTCCTATATACTTGTTAACACTTCCGTTAACCTGACTAAAAGTATCTTACCACCATTGTTGTATACCTCAGGAGTTAGTCCGTCTGGTCCTGCCACCTTTCCACGTTTCAGGTTACCTACAGCTTTCTCGACTTCTGCAAGTATTGGGGGCCTATCTCAATGTTCCACTCAGGATCCAACTGGATAGCGGGCAACGTAGTGATGGCTGGAAGCCAGTAAAACTGCTCCTCAAAGTAATCAGTAGACAATCCTAGTTGAGGACTGTCAGCTTCTTGCATTTTCTCACATAAGTATTATGTAATCGCAGACTTTATAGGAAACATACCAAAGAATGCTAACAACAAAGTGTGTGAAACATTTATTTAAGGGGAACGAAGGGGGTAGAAGATGGTTTTTAAAAATTGGAAATACTCTGTGTATTTTAAACACTAGCTGGCTACTGAATTTTAAGCGAAGCATTTATAAGACTCCTATGTAGTAAGCATAACTAGAGTTTCCTAAGACATGATCAACAAATAAATGACAGGATACTATTTTTCATTTTAGTCTGTTTATCAGAAATGTCACATAGTGAAGTAACAACATCACTTACTGGATAACGTTTCAGAAATAATCTATTATCCATATTCATGTCAGATAATTTCGAATTTTTGAGATATAGTTTAGATAGTTCTAATCCCCCCCCCCTTTTTTTTCATAAAGCTACTCGAGTTTCGCATGTATCTGTGCAATACGATTTCTTTCGCATGCATTTCCTATTGATTCGATAAATAATGAATCGGTTATCAATCTCTCTCTGTTGAATCGAATAAATTGAGCTTTCATGCTACCACTGTATATCATCCTACTGTGTGATTGATTGTGTGTAATTGTGTGCAGTTGTATAACCGAGTTTTTCTCTGAATTCTCTATTGTCTTACTAGGATCAACTAATGTTGATTTGGATAAGTTCTTGTAGTCTGTTATTGCAGTTGATCCTGGTCGACTACTTTGACTTATGTATTTCACCTCGTAATCATTGTGAGGGATTTGGTAAAGGAAATTATTTGTCTTATTCTGTCAGTGGTATGTTTAAGCCTAGAAAGTATGTTTCTCATGTAGTTTTTTTGATTTAAATGCCATTTTAATCCCAGCCTTATTCAGAATCCTACAATTCTACTTTATTTAAATCAAATAGCTAATGACATCAAAGGCGATAATAAATGTTTATTGCTGGCATTCAACAGAGTCAACCGACAAGTAATTTGGCACCTGCCTCAACGCTACGTGGTACCACAAACTTTTATCAACCTCATTCAACAACTATATGACGATGCCCCATGTCAAGTGATTCGCAGTGGAAAGCTCAGTGACGCGTTCGAAGTGAAGACAAGAGTAAGAAAAGGCTGCCAACTATCTCCAATGATCTTCCTGATTGTGGTCCACTGAACTGGACTGGATGGCGCAGCAGACCGTGCGATCTGTGAGGAGATGGGCATACGTTGGCTGGACCGATGAAAATACAAAGACCCTCAAAGATTTTGATTTCGCCAACGATGATAACTTATGTCTAATATCTTGTCGTGGAGACTCAAAGATCTACAGCCGAAAACTAACACGTTAGCAGAAGAAGCAGGGCAGAGAAGATGGGACTTCATTCAGGTGGACGCAGGTAAGACAGAGGTGAAGAAGATGCACAACCAACAACAGCAACAACCACAAGCATCAATCACCAATAATGGCAAAAAAATAAAGGAAGTAGTCTCTTTCACCTATCTACCCAGGCAACATCGTTTCAACTACAGGCGGCATACGCACCGACGAGGATATCAAAACCAGCCAGGATCATAAAGACAGCAAGATAGGCCTTACTTCCGTAATCTGAAATCAGTGTGGAGGTCTATTGTACTGCGTTCAGCATCATGCGTGAACAAGATCTGCGTCCGGATTTTTAGCATGAATGTCAGTCAAATAAGTCAGTGCTGCTGTGTGATGGTTCAGAAACTTGGCACCTCACGAAAAGCAATTCCAATAGAGTACAAACATTCATCAACAGATGACACCTACGCTAGCTTTCTCACTGGATACTGAAGATGAGATCAGATGGTTAAAATAATAAGAATAAGCAACAAGGAGCTCTGGCTGGCAAAGAACCAACGAAGCAACAACCTATCACACAACGAATATTCAGAAGAATAAAGTGGAGATGGATTGGATTGGGGATACACTTAGGAGGTCGACTGGGGACACCACGCTCCAGACTAGACCAGGCCGTCGACTGTAATGCAAAGGGGAAATGACGAGTTGTACGTCCGAGGTGAGGGTGACATGGAGGAGATTGTGTGAGGAAGAAATGAAGGGTGATGAGCAGTCGTGGACCCAGGTTGATAATACTGTAGAGAAGCGAGTGAAGTGGTTATGTGCTACTGAGGCCCTATGTTCCATTAGGAACCCATGGAGAAATAATAATATTATTGTTTCGTGCAAAATGCTGCCTTCCCTATTGAATTCATGTGCTCGAATTTTCAGAATGTCACCAATAGCAGGTTAAAGTCCACTGGTACGAGTCTTCTTGTGACTAATACTTTTCATTCTACTGAAGTTATAACGACATTCATTGAGTAGCATCTCGATTTTGTGAGTTCTGTGCCCGCTCTATGTAGTTTCAGAATGAATACGAGTAATAGGGCAGTTTAGTCTCAATTTGGCATTATATGCTGGCTCATAGTGTGCAGTCACATCTTTGTATGACAGATGTTTTATTTCAGCTTAATATTCAGGTAGGTTTTCAAGAAACCTGATATTTTATATGCTTCTTATGTTATTGAAGTGGCTATTGTGACTCAGTGGCTTGGTCGATAACGTTATGATGTTGGTAGTAGTCGTTCTCAAGTTCATGTCATACTGAGAAGAGTATCGCTCGCGGGGAGGCAGGTACACTCAGCTAACAAGTACAAAATAGTACGAAAAACAAGTGCTACATTGCATTGCTGACCTGATACTCCGCATACAAAGAACAAATACTACACAAATTGCTTCATCTACTAAAAATAGAGTAATAACCTTTTCTAGGATAAAATTTCCTAACTATTACCTCATGAGTAAAATGTCATTGACAAACTTTATCCTTTTTGTTTTCTGCTAAGCAATTTACAGACAAGTTGGATTAGTTTTATTTCAAAAAGGATATCGGATATACGGGGGAAAATTCATATTCGGGACCATAAATGTTCAATAATCTTTTTTCCCTAATTACTTTCTTAACATTTTACGTTTGATGACTTAGGAATTTACTTCCAATAAATTTATTTAAATTCACAAATTTTCTTTTCCATAATATATTTCAGTCAGTTGTAATTTGAACAGTTTTACATTGGTCAGGATATTCTTTGTTGATTTCATTGATATACAAAGCTGTATGAATGTAGTGTTTATACTGGATGATAATTGAAGGTAGAATTCAAATTTCTACTGTGGTCGGATTCAAACCAATGACAACTAGGTTTCTGACTTAACATGGTGTTTAGTTCAGCTAGAAATATTGCTTAATGATGAGATGAAATTCGTAAAGTGTACATTAAAGGACAGTTCGACTCAAGTTTCAAGGTGTCATTATAGCCTCCATACTATTATTATATTATTTGTCCCTAGGGTTCTTAGTGGAACATAGGGCTTCACTATCACGTCTCCATTCCACTCTCTTCTCTATAGTCTTTTCAAACTGGCTCCAAGAATCCCCAAAACCTCTCATTTCTTCCTTACATGATCTCCTCCATGTCATCCTCGCCACGGATGCCCAACTCGTCGTTTCCCATCTGGGTTCCACTCGAGCAACTCGCCGGTCGCGTGATGTCCTCAAATGGTCTTCTCAGTTCATGCCCAGTCCAATCCATCTCCACTTTCTTCCAATGCATATTTGTTCAGTGACAGGTTCTTGCTTCGTTGGTTCGTTCCCAGAGTTCCTTGTTGCCTATTGTTATTATTCTGCCCATCTGAGCTTCAGTAACGAGCCAGAGAAGGCGGCGGTTGTTGATGAATGTCTGTAGTTTGTTGGAAATATCTTTCGTAACTCGCCAAGTTTCTGAACCATCACATACAAGCACTGACTTGACTGGCATTGGTGTTTAAAATCCGGATCCGGATGGTCTTCACGCTTTAAGCTGAGTATAGTTGATCTTCACACTGATTTCAGGTTAATGAAAGCCTGTCTTGCTATCTTTCCGATCTTGGCTGACTTTGACGTCCTCGTCCGTGCCGCTTCTAGTTTAGACGGTGCTGTCTATATAGATGAAAGAGTCTACTTCTTTTAAGTTTCTCTCGTTGACGGTGATTGGCGTTTGTTCTTGTTGTTGGTTGGGTATAGCCTCCACACTGATTACACTTTTTTCATTCTAGCTTAAAATAAAATTTTTTTAGTAAATGAATCATTGCATACTCTGAATTCCCTTATATTTTTTAGAAATGAAAATAACAAATGAAGCTAAAAGAAGGGCAGCCTAGTCTGACCAGTATAGTCAATTAACCAGCTGTGGACTTCCAAAAATGGTTCACACCTTTTGTTTGATTATTTTTCAAAATTAATTTGAACAAGTATCTAGAAAGCCTTTACCACTGATAAAGTTGTGAAGCTTCATTGACTAACATGGCTTGGACATATGTTACACATTCAAAGTCACCGCCTTACTCGATGTGCCATACTAGGGGACTTTAGGTTTAGGATGATCAGACCAAGATGTCGCACCAGTTGACGAAGTCTCTTACTGTTAGTCTAAGCCATGTGAACAGATGTAGACTGACTAGTTAGAATCCCCGAGATCATAAGAATAGCTGGTTGACAACTCCTGGTGACATGGATAAAAGTCGGTCACTCCTCGACATAATCTAAAGTTCGAATATTTGATATCTCTCTTTTTCTGTCCACCTGCTCTTTGTGTACTACTGTAAAGTGTTGCAATTTGAGCCAGTGCACTTGTGTAAGCGGTTCAGTTAGTGTCATGCCTATTTGTAGAGCAAAGATATTGGATTTCGGAGTATTGTAGGATCTTTTCTTGATTTGTAGTTCATTTTCAGTGAGGATATTAATACTAGGTTTAACTGTAAAAGGGTTGCATTTCTGAATGCAATGAGATGCTTTATTTACGAATTGTTGGTAAATTTGGATATATAACAGTTAAAATGTTCATTCGAAACTCTATATTCCCAGTTATTGATATATTATATATCCTGCTTAACTGATGTAGGTAGTTTTCAAATTTTGTTTACCACATTTCACTTATTCATATGATTTTTTTAAGCAATCGATTGTTAAGAAAGTGAAAGGTAGGTTAGGCCAACAAATAAGTCATTTAGATTGGTGAGATATCCGTCACCTGTCACATACTCACTTTTTCGATTTTAACCTTTCGCAGTTACACTTCAACCATCTCAGAAGCTCACTTCAAATCGATTTGGATGACACTCAAATCTGAAATAAAGGCAGAGCTGGCAGCAAGATGCAAAATAACTGTGTGAATGCTACAGTTCAAATGAGGTGTCGGTAGCGTTTTAAGAACCAGCTCCTATTCATATCTTTATTTTTCGTCAGTCTACTTTATCGTATATCTTTGTTTTAAAAGCCGTTATATTTCAACACGATAATTCTTTTTAACTGAAATAAGACTGTCTCAAAGTAACGCCAAAAATTAAATTCTGCTAAAACCCTCTAATAATCCTTACTGTTAGTGTAATTATCTATTTTTAAATTGTGAAACAAAATTTCGGTTAGGATAATACGCTTAACAAATAATCCCCTAACTGTTATATGGATTAGATTATACTTTCATTTACGATAAATCGACAGATGTTTTGTTTCAAATTGTTCTCAGGGTTTATAATCAACTTAGGTTTTTGTCTAAGCCTATTAATATCTTTCAAATATTTAACCGTGAACAATAAGAACGATTATCGAATTGCTCACTGTGGAAATCTTCAGGTAATTATTATGTTTAATATGGAAGAGAAGCTTTAGTTCTTCCTGTAATTTGGATGAATTAAGCGGAATAATCTTCATCGACTTCTAAAAGGCTTTCGACAGCGTCGACCGAGAAGTAATTTGCAAGTTGCTTCAACACTATGGATTTAGTTCCAGAAATTTTTATTAATCCCATTCAACAGCTATATGACGACACCTCATACCAAGTAATTCACAATGGAAAGCTCAGTGACGCCTTTAAAGCGAAGACAGGAGTAACACAATGCTGCCTACTATCACCCATGATCTTCCTGATTGTGGTCGACTGGGCTGGATCGTGCAGCGAAACCGTGAAGGGGCAGTGAGAAGATAGGCATACGCTGTTTGACAGATGAAAAGACCCCAGAAGAAGATTTTGATTTCATCAACGATGATAACTTATGTCTAATGTTTTGTCGCACAAACTTGAGAATCTACAGGCAAAAACTAACAAGTTGACAGAAGAGGCAGGGCAGGACGCCGAAGACAGGACTTCAAGTGAATATACAGAAGACAGAAGGGGTGAAGATACCGAACCAACAATATCATCAACAACAAGCACCAACCATCATAAACGGGAGAAAACTAAAGCAAGTTGTCTGTACCACCTACACCTACCAAGGCAAGACAGCATCGTTTCAACTACAGGCGGCAGCACAGGCACACAAGAGGATGTCAAAACCAGCCAGGATCGTAAAGACAGCAAGATAGGCCTTAATTCCATAATCTGAAATCAGTGTAGAGATCTACTGCACTGCACTTAGCGTAAACAGTGAAGAAGATCTGGATCCGTATTTTCAACACCAATGCCAGTCAAGTAAGTCAATGCTTCTACGTGAAGGTTCAGAAACTTGGCGTCTCACGAAATGCATTTCAAACAGACTGCAGGCATTCATCAACAGGGGCCACCTACGCTAGCTCTCTCACTCAATACTGAAGACGAGATTAGATGGCCAGAATAATAAGGATAAGGAAGAAGGAACTCTGGCTGACTGGCTGGCAACGAACGAACGAAGTGAGAACCTATCACGCAAGGAATATGCAGGAGAAGGAAGTGGAGATGGACTGGATTGGGTATACACTGAGAAAACCATTAGGGGACATCATGCGCCAGGCCAGGCCGTCGAGTGGAACTCAAATGGGAACCGATGAGTTGGGCGTAGCAGCTGATGGTGACATGGAGGAGATTGTGCGAGGAAGAAATGAAAGGTTGTGGGCAGTTGTGGAGCCAGGTTGAAAATACTGGAGAGAAGAGAGTGGAATGGATGTGTGCTAGTGAAGCACTATGTTCCACTAGGAACCCAAGGGAGAAATAATAATAATAACATTAAACGGAATAATCCTGTTCTATGTATTCTAATGAAAGATGCAGAATATTGTATGAGGGTTTGACGTCTAGTGACTTCAACACTTCACAAATAGTTTTAAATACATTTTTTTAAAAATTCATACTTACATTAATATCTTGGTCCAGAGTAACTAGTGAACCATTCATTTGACCTAAGGATCCAATTAAACGAGCTAATCGTATAAGAAAATTTCTATCAGCATTCAACAGTCCTGTAGTAATTCCAACAAGATCATCCATATTATTGATTGATGTTGTTGTCATTATTGTCGATGTGGAAGTTGATTGTGATAAAGATGATAAAAAATTGGAATTGATTGGATTGAAAAACTCTTTAAATCCTTTGATTACCTCACCACTAACATTTTCACTGGTATAACCAAACCAAAATAAAATACAATTTATAATATTATTGAAAATAATTTCAACAAGATTTTTTAAACACTTAACAATATTTTCAATTTGAATGAAAATCATTTCAACTTGCAATGATTGTTTATAAAGTTGTGAAATTTCATTGACTCTATTGATAAGTGATACATCTTCTTGTTTATTTTGTTGGCTTCGAAGTGTACAATCGAAGCCTTTGATATATATGCCATATTCATTGAAACTCAAGTTTCTCAACATAATAATAAGTCGTGTAAAGTTCAAATCCAAACGTCGACTTAATTCATAGGCTTTGTATACTTTGAGCAAAAGAGTGGAATATGAATCAGGAATAATGACGTTGAATTTGTGCACTACTGAAGAAATACCTAAAAAGAAAACATAATCATCAACATAGATTTTAGACAATAGTATTGCAGAAATTACCTTATATTACTTGAAGAATATCTTCAGGTAAATTACTTGACCTTCTACGAACAAAATTAAGAAAGTATTGAAAGCCATCAAATATTGTTTTCCCAAGTAAAATAGATCCCGAGATATTAACACTTAAAAACAGTTAAGTTAGTCTTTCAGTGTCAAGTGTATTTCATACCATATCACATTTCTTTATTTGATTTATAACACACAGCGATGATACAGAATTACTTACTTCATAACCAAGCTTCTAGCATAAATTATAATCGCTCACAATCAAATTCATTTAGTCACACTACTTTCGACATCTAATTTATATGGTCCTGCTTCATTGGTAGAAAGATTTTCCATATCTGTCGTCTACACGTCGCATCAATTCTACGACATGTGTTGATTCGATGAACAAAGATTTAGTAATCAATCTCCGTGTATCTCTCCACCCAGTTATATTGAACGTGAGTACAGTGGTATTATCCCACTGAATCTATATTATATGGTTGAGTGTTCATGCATGCATTGCAATAGCCCAAAGTCTTTCCAGATTCCTGATCTCATTCATGTCTGTAATTCTATTTGCAACTGAATCCCCATGCTACGATATTCCAAACGATCTGAGTGACTAGTAACACATATGTATTTCACCTCACAGGCATTATATGGAATTTGATAGATTAGATTATTTCGCTTATTTGGTTATATTCCAACCGAAAACGCTTATCTCTGGGTCAATTTGTAGGTCTAAATGCCAAACTAATTCCACTCTTGTTGAGAATTCTAGATCATCTGCCTCAAATACCTTCCTTATATGGTTACACAATGGAGGCTGTGAACTCCGTTCCACTCGTCTCGTCGTTATTGTTCATACTCATGTTACTGTCATTATTTCGTTTCATGTATGTTCGTACAAATTTCTTAGTAAAGTGTAAGGGGTAATTACTGTTTATAAATGCTTCTTTTATGTGTTTCATTTGCATGTTTGGGTCGTTGCACTGACTGGTCAGTCCTCTAGCTCTGTCATTTAGACATTTGACTACAACTGCCTTCACTGACTGACATTGGGTGAGATGATATGAAGTCTACATTCCTGTTGGAATGTGTTTATTTCTTGTAGACGGTAGTATCCAAACCACCATCTCTCCTGCATTTTATCGTCCAATACAACACAAGTAATTCTCCTTGTTCATTTTCCACCTCAGAAGTGAAGTGGGTCATGTCAACTACTGAGTTTCTATGTATGAGTAAATTGTCGACATGTTTCGATTTTACCACAAACAATGTATCATTCATGTTTCGCCACCACATCTTAGGTGAACCATCATACCCCTGTAAATCCATGTTTTCCCAACTCTACATAAATATATCTGTTACTTCTATGGATATTGACGATCCCATTGCTACTCCTTCTGTTCGTCTGTATATTTCGTTGTGGAGGTCAGGCACAACTGTACTCCTCATATGATCTTATCAATCGATATTGCAGTTTTGTGAGTAATTTCTGAGTGAATATTTAGTGTATTTTTGACTGCTTCCAATGGTATGTTGATTTGTATTTTGGTGAAACGACTTGTTACATTGAAACTAACCTTTTTTGCATCCTATTCTATATGTAGTTCCTTTACTACAAAGTGATACCGAGGGTTATCTCGGAAACATTTCACTCTCATAAAATTGAAAAGAATGTAAGAGTTTAAGAACAATTGTTTAAAAATGTGTAGATACATGAAGTAGTTATCACTAATCACCTGCAGTTCATTGAATAAAATTTCTACATAGACTTAGCATTCGTTGCTATCTGCAAGATCCTTTTTTAAATTAACCTTCAGTGATATTGTTGAAAACATTTTTCTGTAAGAAAATTAATCATTATATAATACTTTCAGTATAGCTTAGAAAAAGTTTAATGATAAAGACGACACTAAAGATATGTGCCATAGTTTTAAATGTCTCATTTAAAAGGGATTTTAATTTATTGCCTAAGTGGACAAAATCCTATTTTCAGCTCTTAAAATTTAATGGATATCGAATAACAATCAATCTTTTATAAGCTGCATTTTATGTCATGGTGTATTGTTAAGATGGATGAATGCACAAACACTTAATCTCATGAGTAGATATTCTGTGTTACAATACTTTTTGTTACAATGAAAACTATTGAGGAAGTCTTCAGTAGAAATTTTTGAAAAGCAGTGACTAAATGTCTATTCACCTACGCTAGACTAACCTTATCCAGTCAATTAACCACTCAGCCACCGGTTCCGATTTTAATCCATCACAGTTTTCACCTTCTGTTAACTCATTGTATAGCGCTACTATCATTCTAGGTCTTCATTTGGCATCCGTTTCCCACCTCCTGTGACCGCTTCTCATTAGAACTTCGTGATATCCATCTGGTAGCATGTCATTATTAAGGATTATAGTGTAATGTAATATGATGTTATTGAGAAGCTGTGATCTGTGGTGCCAACCAGTTAGAAGTGAAGCGCAGGTCAACTGAGGACCGTGAATTGACATAAGTTGAAGACTGGGAACCATCGAACTCCCACCCAGTTGCGCAATGATCGTGGAACCTGAAAATCCTGAACTCGATCTCTGATGGTGAGGTATCGTTGGTGCATAGTACTGGCGAAGTGCATAATAGGAAGGAACAGTTGTCCATGGCTCTTAAGGTTTCAGTGGCTTCCCACTTAAAATCAGTTCGTGATGAATACTACCTTAAAAATATTCATAATCGTTTACATGTCCACAAATTTGTTGTTTACAAAGTCATTCTGATCACCAACTAAGGTATGTATGAAAAAATATTGAAAGTTTATTATCATAATTTGATATTCTCTGGAAATCGAACCAAGGACCATCAAGTCTCGTGGCAGATGATGTGGCTATTGACTTACTAAATACTCTGAATTTTCGATATACTGCGACTAGTATCTGATGTCATTAGTGGGCACCGATGATGGAAATGACATCGATATCAATCACAAACCTTTACTGATCAATTGGGTAACTATCATGATCCTTCTTAGGAATGATGAAGTAGTTTGAAAGGCAATAAACTTTGGAACGTCCTTCCTTAACAAAACCTCCCTATTGTAATGTAATAAAATGACGTTTCCTAATTCGCACTGAGCTATAGCCTTAAAAGTCCACGTTTTTGTTATTATTTGTTATTTCAAGTCATTGATGAAACCGAACTGTTTGGCCATTATTAGCAAATATGCTCCAGCGTGGTTGCCTTACTAGTGCCAACAATTTCAGTTACATAGTAATGATGGATACTCCTTTTCCAACTTTGTACTAGCTTCCTAGCGAGTAATGTTGTTCTCAGTGTAACTGTTTTAAGAAGGATCACTTCAAACACCAAAGTGTTCTCCACATAGCTACTGAGTCACGATAACCACTCCTTGTGCGAAGAGTGTAAGCTTTCCAGTTACTGCTTTTTGTTTCATTTCAAAGAATCAACCAAATCTATTAGTCCTGGATCCCACTAGTAGCTACGATCCAACTTTACCAACAAACTTTTAGGTGTATCAAAATAAAAAAGGAAAACTGGCTTAAGTATACTGTACATCAGACTTGTTTACATTTCCTGTCTAGAAATTTATTCACAAATAAAACCGAGATTCACTTATGAATAATTAAGCCGATCTTAACTTGATGACATGAGAAGTGTTCTCATAGATGTTGTGGATTTCGGAATAAAAAGTCATTTCTAGTCGTATGACTGCCAGAAGATGAGTTTCGGGTTCATTTGTCAAGTGATTTACTTCGTTTATAAGGGTATCCCAGATGGTAACTAAGAATTGACGTAAATGAAGTACAAATCACTTAGAAAATACCCTACTATAATGATTTTGTAGTGATTTTACTTCACTTACTTCCTGCTACTGCATATCAGCGTATCTCGCTTCCTCTTATCCTAACGAAAATGATATATAAAACGCTTTAAAAGTAATAAATAACATTATGTATTGTCTGTAGACTACAATTATAAACTATAGAATTTGAAGGAGGTTGTAGGGATTTAGAAATATTTCAAGACTGTTAACCAATTTATATGTGTGGGCACACATACATATAGAGAGGAGTAATCGTTCAATGCAGGTTAGGGTGGGTGAACACATACCCAAATGGCTAGAAAAACAGTTTAACACACAAACTTTGATAAGTGCAGGTGAAAGACATCTATCGTCATCTATAGCAAAACATATCATTGAAATGAATCACAGGGTTAATACGAAAACAGCCCTCAAGATATTATACAGGAATAATCAGGGGCGTATACTGAAGTTTGCCGAAGGGTTAGCCATTCGTAAACTTAAGCACCCGCTGTGTGTGCAAAAACAATTTGTTGTTCCACTTAATTTACCTTGGTTATCCTTATCGGATTATATTACCAAGACTAATGTCACAACCTTTTCATATCCACTGTATTTGACCTTTAATTTTCATATATAAATTGACTTGACAAGTAAATGTGTGATCAGACTGTTCGAAATGTATTGCGCAAATACATCACATATTTCAGATAATCTTCGTCCTCTAATTGCGTTATCGGAATTCATTAAAGGGACTAACCGTTTCGAAAAATGCAAGCCTGTGAGCACTAGACAGCGTGGGACTCCTCATAGGTGTGCCCCCAGACCCTGCCAGGGATCGCACCCGAGACCTTCAGGTTCCGTGGCCAACATGAAATTCAGTTAAACTGGTGCTCATTGGTGACTAGCTTCGAGAAGTATTCCTGAAGTTTCAGTGAGAAGTGGTGACCGTGGAGTCAAGCCTGATGGTCGTGAGGACAGTTACTCAACAATGACATTAGGTGGCGGTTGCGCTATGTCGTGAACCGACAGAAGTTGGAAATATGGACCATTGGATTCCAACCGGGTGGTTAAATGGCAACGTGCTGATCACTGAACCTGAACGTCTCGGGTCCGAGCCCTGGCGGGGTCGTGGA